CCTTGAACGAAATAACACGTGCATTTTTGACCGCTGCATCTCGCGAATCTATTTTTTGCAACACGCAGCATTTCCGTTTAGCTGCAGTAGTAATTTTTTTGAGATTCTGTTAACTTTTAAATTGAAAAGGAGAACAAAGCCACAGTAAATACACTTCAAATCCGTGCTAAATATTTGAATACAGAAGTAAGTGCATAGTTCAGCTACCACCGGCTGGTGAATGCATGTTGGTTTATTCGATTTTTCTTGCAATTAGTCTAGTGCAATATCTTAAAATTTAGCAAGTGCGGTCCACATCATTATTTTATTTTAAAGTGCAAGTGAAAGTCGCCAAGTGTTTACAAATCTGATTGTAAAGTTATAACGAGATATTTTTGTCATGTAGCATAAAGTAAATTATTTCAATGGCGCCCCGTGTCCCCACCCCTTTGTAGCGCAACAAACTCCAACAAAAGCAGAGTAATATTTATCCCATCTGGTGTTAAAGTGTGATTTGTGAATAAAAATATTAAAAGTAAAGTGAGGATTAAGAAAATAATTGTCGAAAAAATTTGTGAAAGTGTAATCCGTTCGAAATTTGTTTAGAAGAAAATGTTGGAAAATCGGGTGTTGCGCTACACTTTTTATAGCCTGACTGCAGGCATATCGACAGTGTTGTTGTCAGAAATTGTATATCGTGGCTATTTGTACGTGCGCGAACGATTGTGGCGTTGCGATGCATCTGACGACGAAGTGGCCGAAGTCATCTGGACGAATGAGCTGACACAAGGTTGTGCAGGTGGACACATACTGAAATCTCCATCCGAGCGCAAGAGCCCTACGCAAGAGAGCCCTACAAGTGGCATGGTCGAGAATGGGCATATTGCCAAACTACCAGCTCCAACTGCAAGTGCAAGTCCTTCGTGTAAAAATCGCTTTTGTGCTGCTAACAATGTCGGCCGACTAATTTCGTTAATTGATAAATCTAAATATACCATTGATCTGGCCATGTATACGTTTACATCCTACGATCTGTCGCAGGCATTTCTGCGAGCTATTCGCAGAGGAGTGTCTGTGCGCATCATCAGTGACAACGAAATGGTGTACTCCAGTGGCTCACAGATTATAGCATTGACGAAGGCAGGTAAATAAATGCTGAATATGATTGCAATATTTCTTACAGAAACTTATAAAACCTAAAGATTACTTTGTCGCTCATCAGCTGATGATGTCATGCGCTACTGCAACCGTTGTTGCATTGAGAACTCCGATTTGACCTTGAAAACGATAAGTATGTTGTTATCAAGTTTAACCCAAAAAATTAGGTTTGACAATCAAAAATACGAATCAATTGATTTCTATAACAATTCCAAGAAACTTAATTATTACCAAGCCCATGGAATAATATCTATACATATGTACATGCCTGTATGCCTGCATGTTCGTGTACATGCAAATCGACGTGGTATAAAGGTATCTATATATATCCATCGAAGCAAACAAAAAAGGGGCCATAATTACCTTGAAAATAATCAAGCCTTAACTACAAAGCTGCGAAGACAAGCGCCGACAACAATAAAAAAGAGGGGCCGTGTTGGAAGTTGTGTCGCGGCTACGGTCCCATTCTCTAAATTTTCTTGCTAACGATTGAACCACGTGCACTCATAGCGTTCACATCTTCCCACCTAGCGAGCTCTTCTCTTTGGAATGGCAGTATTTATCTTATAAAAGCATCTTATAATATAATTTCTGCATTTATTGTTTTCACGAATTGCAATTATATGCGCTTTTTGGTGCAATGCTCTGCCAATTTACATGTTGCCATGTGCAAAGCTTTGTGGTACCAGCCCCCGCCAGAGAACGTATAGAAATTTTTGTATTTGTATTTCTATACGTTCTCTGCCCCCGCTGCAACACTTCCATACATACATATTTACATGCACACATAGTTAAACGTATGTGATTTCATTCGTGCTCTTTAGGGCTAGAATAAACATGTAATTGCAAGGTAGACATTTTTAAAATTAACAAACTACAACAAAACAATTAATTATAAATCTCCTTTTTTTGGTACAATTAAGGGTTAAATAAAAAAGAAATCTGGCAGCCTTAATACAACGCACTGCTTTGCCAGCACTTGCTATGTGTATAAAATTGTAGTATATTTTTCGGCTGTGCATAGAAACGATGCGTTGAATCTTCGTTGCTTGAATCTGTTCGAATTGCGTGTCGATAACAAAGTGAAGAGTGGTTCATAAGTTACGATTTTTGTTTCGCTGTATTTGCACAATAGTTTCACTAGAAAAAATGGGTAGGC